TCAAAAAGTTGCATATAGATAGCCTGACAATGAAAATAATCATTATGATAATCATTGAATATTTTATTTTCCTCTTCCAGGTTTCCATCGTCAAGAGTAGAGACATATGCAATTACTTGTGAGTGAAGATGTTCAAAGGTTTCTTGACATGTATCGAATATTTTGGCACGACATTTAAAATTATAATGGTAACTTTTATCAATTAGAGAGAGATCGGCTACCTTTTTCAATTCGGTAATTTTCGTAATTTCTGTAGCCCTTTGTGCTAACAATTGTTTGTGTTCTTTAGCTTTCGTGATGTTATGAATGAGTTAGTCTTGACCAGAAATTGGCTTTTTTCAACAAAATACAGCATGACATGTGATATGACATAAATAGATAACTAATCAAAGTAACAGGACAAATGATGAACTTCGGGAATACGGTGTGTTAACTAAATATTATATTATACAAGGAATGATCATCACATTCTCCCGTGCATTTAGAAACAGTCATAGACCCCTAAATACTTTGGAGGTCCTCTAATTCTTTGAGGTCGATCTGTAGATTCAGAGGATGACACCTCAGGAACGGAACTGCTATGCACTCTAGTTGAAATTAATTCATCATCATGTGTTCCAAGTATATCTTCAGTTTGGTTCGAATTATCTTTGCCGTTAAATCACGCCGGTATTCCCAGGATGATACAGAATTCATCAAATCAGAAATCCAGAGACTACTTTCAGAAGGAATCATCGAGAAAAGTAAATCACCATGGCTGGCACAAGTCCTTGTTTCGACAAATTCGAATAACAAGAAGCGAATGGTAATCAATTATGCTCAGACAATAGATAGATTCACAGAACTCGACGCTTATCCCCTTCCCAATATAGAAGATATATCGTCTCTAATATATCTAAATACAGGGTGTTTAGTACAGTCGACCTCAAGAGCGCGTACCATCGAATACCCATCGCAGAGAATGAGAAACCATATACTGCTTTAGAAGCATCTGGTAACCTCTTTCAATTCTCAAGAGTTCCATTTGGGGTTACGAATGGAGTTTCATGCTTTCAACGAACTATAGATAACATCATTAGAGATGAAAAATTAGAGGGAACTTTTGCATATCTAGATGATGTGACCATTCGTGGAAAAGATGCGATAGAACATGAACATAATCTGCATCACTTCAAAGAGATTGTTGAGAAATATAATTTGACTATTAATGAAGACAAATCGAAGTTTTCCCAAACATCAATCAATCTTCTTGGATACGCTATAAAAGATGGAACCATCAAACCAGATCCTGATCGCCTTCGGCCACTCCTGCAACTACCACCACCTAATGATTACCCATCTCTTCGTCGAGCTATTGGTATGTTTTCGCACTATGCCAAATGGATCCCAAAATACTCAGAGAAAATCCAGCCACTAATTCAAGTCAACTCATTCCCAATCGATTCACAAGTCATTGAATCTTTCGAAAATTTGAAATCAGATATAGCCAAATCGATGGTGACATCCATTGAAGACAAAACTCCATTCACAGTAGAGACTGACGCATCAGACTATGCAATTGCTGCTTCTCTATCACAGAATGGAAGACCAGTTGCATTTTATTCAAGAACACTTTCTGACAGTGAGCGTCGACATTCTGCTATAGAAAAAGAAGCCTATGCAATAGTTGAAGCGCTACGAAAATGGAGGCACTATTTGATTGGAAGAGCTTTTCGTTTGATAACAGATCAAAAATCCGTGTCATTTGTGTTCGATAATAAACATTCTGGAAAAATCAAGAACGACAAAATTCAGAGATGGCGACTGGAATTATCAAGTTTTAAGTATGACATCGTATATCGACCTGGAAAAGACAACGCCGTAGCAGATACCCTATCGAGAGTTTGTGCTAGTACAAGTGGTAAAGAATTATCTGATTTATACAATCTCCATCAATCTCTATGCCACCCTGGCATTACTCGAATGACACACTGGATTCGTTCCAAAAATCTTCCATTTTCCATCGATGATATCAAAAGGATCATCATCTTCATGCGCTATATGTACTATTGTTAAGTCTCGTTTCTATAAAAATAAAGGTCAATTAATAAAAGCAACCGTACCTTTCGAACGATTGGCTTTAGATTTCAAGGGACCATTGCCTTCCATATCTCACAATCGGTACCTTTTGACGGTAATAGATGAATACTCAAGATTCCCATTTGCATTTCCATGTGCTGATCTATCAGCTGCTACAGTCATAAAACATTTGTCTATGATGTTCTCGGTGTTTGGTTTACTTTGTTACATCCATTCAGATCGAGGCTCATCGTTTATGTCCTTTGAATTGAAACATTTCCTCCAGTCGAAAGGAATCGCCACCAGTCGCACTACGGCATATAATCCCCAAGGAAATGGCCAAATAGAGAGAGAAAACGGTACCATATGGAGGACAATTGAGTTGGCTCTTCGCTCCAAAGGATTGAAAATCGCCCAATGGGAATCTGTGTTGCAAGAAGCACTTCATTCGATAAGGTCCCTTTTGTGCACTTCCACAAATGCAACTCCTCATGAGAGAATGTTCTTCCACAGTCGCAAATCCAGCAATGGACAATCTATGCCTTTTTGGTTGACATCACCTGGTACAGTCCTTATGAAGAAACATATTCGAGCAAATAAGTATGAGCCACTTGTAGAAGAAGTCGAACTACTCGAAGCGAACCCGGATTATTCTTATGTTAGGTTACCAGACGGTAGGGAAACAACGGTTTCAAATAAACATTTAGCACCACGAGGTACTGAGGGATATTTGGATCGAAATTGTGTCGAGTACCATTCCACTCCTATTAGACATGACCAATCAAATTCGAAAGCAAATGAAAGAATTGCCAACAAAGATAATTCGAACCAAACTGAAGATGTACTTGGAACACATGATGATGAATTAATTTCAACTAGAGTGCATAGCAGTTCCGTTCCTGAGGTGTCATCCTCTGAATCTACAGATCGACCTCAAAGAATTAGAGGACCTCCAAAGTATTTAGAGGTCTATGACTGTTTCTAAATGCACGGGAGAATGTGATGATCATTCCTTGTATAATATAATATTTAGTTAACACACCGTATTCCCGAAGTTCATCATTTGTCCTGTTACTTTGATTAGTTATCTATTTATGTCATATCACATGTCATGCTGTATTTTGTTGAATAAATTGTTATGAATGAGTTAGTCTTGACCAGAAATTGGTTTTATTCAACAAAATACAGCATGACATGTGATATGACATAAATAGATAACTAATCAAAGTAACAGGACAAATGATGAACTTCGGGAATACGGTGTGTTAACTAAATATTATATTATACAAGGAATGATCATCACACGTGGCCATAGTGAAACTAGGCTAACAGTTTTATATCTATTGTATACCTATATTACACTGAGAATGAGAGAGCTCGTACGTCACTGTCGTCGCGACGTCCTATATGCAACTTTTGGAGAGCGGCAATGCACTGATAATTTGATCGAGTCCAGAAACCCAACTAAATTTCGAATTCCTCAAGAGCAATAATTGGTTTTTGAGAAGAGTGTTCCACTATTCGTAGAGTACTGAAGAGTTTTTTACAATTTGTAATTGATACAAATCACTTGATAATATTACCTCGAATATTACACGACGATAACAATATTGTTTATATCGTGATTGAGATATCAGCTGTTGTTTTCAAGCGAGCGCCGAATTGATGAGCTATTGTATTTTGGCTTGTCGATTCAACTATTAATGAGTGTGGAGCGTCTTCGCTGCGCAGGAAGGTGTGTCTTTGATAGGAAACAACAACAGAGAGAAGGGATGCCTGGTTGAACGATAAGAGAAACGTGATTGATGGCCGACAAATGAATTCACCTATTTTTGCATAAATATTTCGATATTTATTCTTTTTTTTTATATCACTGAAAAATATGATAAATCCAAAATCCGGCTCGAAGAACCAATGTTATGGGCGAGAAATTGCAGTGGACTGTATTATCACTCGATAGGTACACGAATAAGGATATTTTCAAACTCGACAGAAACAAGATCTTTTGCAAATTCGCTCACCTGTATAGGTATGATTGATGGACACCGCGTGGTTTCCTCCTTGTAGGCTTCAGGCGGCCGCCGAGCTTATTGTATCTTGCTTTTCAGGATATTATCAGCACATCATAAGTTTATGTTCCTTTGAGAGTTTATCGTGCGGTTATTTTTATTCAATCGAACACATATATTACAGTGAGTTTTTTAATTTTCTCTCTCAAATCGCCGGGTTCACGCGTCTCTCCTCTTCTCTCTTGTCACCTGACCTCTCGGCCCCTCCACCTTGGCCCTTGGTCATCTCCTTTCCTCCACTACAGGTGTGTTTGGCGATAGCGAGAAGTACCTTGTTTCTGATAAACCGCGCGAATTTCTATTTTAAATTTGAAAACGAATATTTATGCAAAGATAGGCAATTGGCAATTGAAAAGTAACAGAACAAGCGGTGTTTATACAATTTTGCAAATTTAATATGCTGCCATAACTACAAGCCACCTGAAAATCCACTTCATCTATGGTAGTAAATGAACACATCTGTCCTCTATATATTTATTGCAGATATCGTAATGACGGTTATCAGATATCCAATTATGATAACTTAAGTTTTCTCTCAGTGTAAAGGTGATGGCCCATGTATTAATGTTTGCTGGGCAGTCCAGTTCGAATTTGAACAATCCTATGGCAATATTCAGGAAGTGCAAAGAAACATCTTTATGCCAACATTCTCAAAACATCCCCAAAACATCCCAGGGATATTTGTACTCGCTGGGACACAAGTGTTGATAAGGAACGATACCTCATATGTCTTTATTAGGCTGCGTGAGGTTTCATTTTTCTTGTCACATGAGGTCCACATCTGGCGTCATTTTCGTCTTCTATTGACGTGAAAAATATTACAATGAAACGCCATCTATACTTGCATGAGATACAGGAATTGCTGATACTCACAGTTCATTTCTGATTCCGTATTGAAGTCGATTCTAGCATTTTCACCGAATACGATTTGGCAATCCTTCGACAACACCCAACTATCGATCTTCAGTTCGTCAATTGAATAAAAATTGAACGAAATCTCTGGAAAAACGAGGCCATCGCAGTGCTCTTGTGGCCTACCGTCGACCCAGTTTTTGGGATTGAAGATGTCATTATCATGTCGAAACGTCTTGACGGCACAATGCGCTGTGATAACTGAAACAAAATTTGAGTTGTTACATTTTAGATTATCAACACCATATAACGAGTCAGAGTCAGCTATTTTTATTTCCATAACAGTTCTAATATGGCAATACGGTTCTTCTTATATTATTGTGTATTTGATTATTTAACTTATTTTTTGAATTGACTTGGCCGTTATTTGATGGAAATCCATGGCGAATGTAGAAACTTCACAAACGATAAGATTTCCACAAAATTCTTAAACACACAATAGATTTCGCTAACACAGTAGCTTCGTCAGGTGATATACTGGTACAATGAAATAAACCAACCTTGGCTTGCCTAACTTTTATATATCCTATACTTTCCCAATCTGTCTGCAGGTAACTAATCCTTCAAGTTGGGAAAGTATAGGATATATAAAAGTCCTATCCACAGGTAACAAATCCTCCAAGTTGGGAGAGTAGGATATATAAAAGTTAAACAAGCCAACGTTGCTTTAGTTCATTGTACCAGTATATGACCTGACGATGCTATTGTGTTAGCGAAACATGTTGTGTGTTCAACAATTTTGCGGAAATCTTATCATTTGTGAAGTTTTTACATTATTTAACTATAGTCTCCAAAACTTCACTTTAAAATACCGAGTATCAACTGTCTATTCCAGTTTTACACTCATATCATTCTAAAAATAACGCTGCATAGTGAAATTTGAAGAATACCTGATATATTCTTCCATATGGAGGGGAGTGTAACTTCTTTTGTCTGTATATTATGGTCTATCAAAAACGAGACACATCAGAATGTACCGTCTAATAGTTATAATCATAATGATTCCTTGTCCTATTTTGTCAAATTAATTTGTAAACGGTGGACACTTTCTTAATGGGATTGTATTGGTTACTTCCAAACCATAGGTACTCGCTTCATGAGATATGACGAATAAAAAAACAAGTCATGGAAACCATCCATTCTCAAAGTGGTCCAGTATTTTTCAAAAGGAGAAAAACAATAACTCCAAGTCGGTCGACCACAAAATTTAATAAAACCCCTCAATGTGTAACTAGTTTCGGCCACACGGCCATCTTCAGACACAAAAATTATAATGAAGTACCTGAAAAATTCGAACAGTTCTTAATCTAAATAATATAGCAGCTGGGAAAGAACATACCTCTATGGAGAAAACATCTTAAAATTTAAATAAAAGCACTGGTCAAGTTATAGTAACAATCAATCCGGTAAAACTGAGTATCTTTGTAGCGGCTGAAAAGCCAATAGAACTTCACAATAAGTAAGTTCGGCATCAAGGAGAAAAAAACGTTTTTTTAAAAATCTACTCAAAGGAGCTTCATCTGCTTCGAAGGCAAGCCATCAAAAGAAAGAAATTATATAGTGGAGCAAAGATGGGAATGTGAAATTTGACATTTGACATAGAATTATTGACAATTCAAAGAATGAAATCATCCTTATTCACAAAAAATGGCGTCCTTTAATTGCTTTTTCCACAGAATTTTTTCTTTACCCCTCTCACAAGCAGCTTTTGATAAAGAGATTAATATCATTAAACAGATTGCCCAAAATAATTTTTTTCCTCTTGAATTGATAATGAAGCTATATTTCAAATTTTACACTAAACATAGTATCATTTAATGTCACTACCAGTCAAGTTGTTGATCCTCCCTTATACAAATCATTACACTATTTTGGTCATTATTCCATTCAATTAGCAAAAATGTTCAAAAATTTTTCTTTTTCCATTTCCTACAAAACCTCTTCTAATTTGAAACATTTATTAGTCAATTCCAAAGATAAAATTCCCCTTGTCAAGAAATCTGGGGTGTACAGACTCAATTGCAATGATTGTAACTCATCATACATTGGTCATACATCAGGTAGGAGTTTTGAGACTCGTGTCTCTGAACACAGCAGATTTATTCATAAATTTCTCAATTCTGGAAAATCGAGTACATCTTCCTTTGCCAATCACATAATTGATTCAAACCACAGTTTTAATGTTAACTCCAATATGGATACCATTCATGTTTGCAATAAAGGTCCTCGGTTAAACCTTCTGGAGATTTTGGAGATACAAAAATGTATTAATAATCCGGATAGCATTTGTTTAAATGACCAGACTAACTTCAATCGGAATACCATTTTTCGCACTTTACATTTTTCATAATTTTTGTAAAATTTGTTAATTACAGTTTTCCTTACGCTGGAGCCGACTCTGTCTCCACTTGCTTGACAGACTTGTTTTCGGCTTCTTCTCTGTTTACCATTAACAATTCTTCTGCCTTTTGTTATTGTATATTCAGGGCCCTTTCACTTATCTCTCTATCATCAATTTCTAATATTAATAATTTTATTGCATTATATAATTTAGGTTTTTGAATTACGCTTTCTCTGTAATGTTGTTGGTTGTTTTTCGATATTAATGTTAAATTGATATTGTTTTTCCCAATTTCATTCTTTGAATTGTCAATAATTCTATGTCAAATGTCAAATTTCACATTCCCATCTTTGCTCCACTATATAATTTCTTTCTTTTGATGGCTTGCCTTCGAAGCAGATGAAGCTCCTTTGAGTAGATTTAAAAAAAAAAACGTTTTTTCTCCTTGATGCCGAACTTACTTATTGTGAAGTTCTTTTGGCTTTTTAGCCGCTACAAAGATACTTAGTTTTACCGGATTGATTGTTACTATAACTTGACCAGTGCTTTTATTTAAATTTTAAGATGTTTTCTCCATAGAGGTATGTTCTTTCCCAGCTGCCATATTATTTAGATTAAGAACTGTTCGAATTTTTCAGGTACTTCATTATAATTTTTGTGTCTGAAGATGGCCGTGTGGCCGAAACTAGTTACACATTGAGGGGTTTTATTAAATTTTGTGGTCGACCGACTTAGAGTTATTGTTTTTCTCCTTTTGAATAAAAAAACGATAATTTCAGTTTTTTTGGTTATCCTTCACCTATTTTCAAAACTTTCAAAATTGTTCTTGGAATTTTTCATTTGGTATTCAATTCCATTTGCTTTGACGTTTTCAGATTTTGCTTCCAACATTTCAGATTTTCCATCAGACCACCCTGATGAAGCTACCAATAGAATCCCATAAAAAAAGTGGTCACCCTGTTTATATACAGAGTGCTTCATGGAGGGACTCACATAGCCAAATGATGATATATTTAAATGAAAAAGGTTCTTGACGATTACATTATGTGAAATTACAATATAACTTTGATGGCCGATTTTTCAGAAATGATCCATCATAATTAGCTGAAATTTGGCAGCGACGATCTTCTGATGATTCCATTCAAGATGAGATATTATGAGAGAAAAATACAGGTACGGACTTGGAAAAATCATTTTTTATTGTCATATGACAAAAAAAGCATTGTGATTACTTTTCTCAAAAAATGTTATCAGATTCAGAAAGGTCAGACAAAATGTCATAAGAACAAATGATCTACAATTTGCACGGCCACATTTGACAGATTCAACGAAAAAATATGGAACAGAAACGTTCGAATGACCTCTCAATTTTGACCTCGCTGATAAATTCTTACTTTCAACTATATATTCATGTAGATTGACTTTTCGCACATTTTCGTTGAATAGAAATAATTGACAGAAGAGAGTAATTCTGAATTTTTTGATGATTTGAAATGTTAGTTTCTGATCGAAATTCTAGATAGCTATGGTTATATAGTCTTGACTTTATTTTATGAATTTGTTATAAATAGGCCGTTTTTTTGTGATGATGTGACGTTGGTGTTTGTTGATAGGTAATTACTGATAATCGAAATACTCTTGCACTCAAGATGGCACTTCATATCTCAAATGCTGAACAAGAACAATACGAAAATTCAAATGCTGCAAAGTTTGATACCATAGAAAATTTTTAGACCCAAGATCACGTAGCAGTAAAACCTTCACGAGGGTGAACATTATAGGAATATTGAAAAAATAGCAACGTGTTTCAAAAACAAAAACTGAAGCTCTGCACTGAGAGAAATTATCCGTTGTAAATACCTAAAGATCACTATACCATACCAAGCGTTGTGGTTAAATATAGGCGCCAGTCACTACATTCATCAAATATATAACCACTACAAAATAGTATGATTGAGGCAATATGACATACTGAAGCACCAGTTATTACCCAGGCAACTAGATGACGTTACAGTGACGTCTTTTTTACGTCACTTGAATGACCAAGGTGACGTCAGTAGTTGACGTCGCATTGACGTGATAATGACGTGAATAAGTCACAACCCAATGACGTCATATTACTCACGTCGTATTGACGTCATTCACTCACCAAACTGTGACGTCTGACTGACGTCATAATGACGTCAAAATGACGATTGAATTTGGCGATGATACGTAAAAAAAAAACCTTCAACATGGTGTGATTAACACCACTAGCCTCTGATGACATTAAATAATATTGATTATGCATTATTGAGTCTGCTTGGTGGGTCCCTCCTGTGTCATGTTGATTCAATCGCCTATTCAGCAGCACCATCCTTCAGTACGCATCTCCATCAGAATGCAATCAGTTTCTCGTATTTGTATAAAAAATTATGTAGTTTGTGTCGGCGAGATGTAAGCAAACAAAGAATAGTTTGCTAGCAATGGAAAGGATGTTGGCGAATTTAGCTTCACTTTGTTGAATAATATATATGGGTCATTCTTCAAAACGGGGACAAATTGACAACGATATTCAATAAGAATGAAAAATGTGTCAAAATCATTCAATATTCATCCAGTTGTCGTATCTGAACATAATATATCTCATATTGAACAGGTCAAGAATTGGATAATTTTTTAATTGATTTATGCTGAAAAAACTAAAAACTCTTCCCATGGAGTTGACGACCTCACCCATGGAGTTGACGATTTCATCCATGTAGTCGAAAACATTAACATAAACACAAAATTTCTTTTCTGTTATTACCTGAAAATAAATAACAATCTCATTAGAGTTTTGTTTTGATCATATAAATGTTAAATATTAGTACCTTCATAA